GCTGAATTGCACAAAACGCATGATCGCACCGGCTAGTCTGGTGCGCGTTGCCATTTATTTTGATATTTTGACCATTCGCCGTTCTCGCTACTGAACCAGTTTTGTAGCATCTTCTAACCTGCAGTCACACCTTCCTTATTATCATTTCTATGTAATTGTGCCTGGTTGGACAGTTTGAAATACTTCTAAGTTATTGTTTTCAAATACTTTTTGCAACTATGCAATGCAAAAAACGCATATTGACGACGGGTTGTCTGCGTGTGTGTCTGTCACGGTTGTTCATCTCAAGACCTACAAAAGCAACAGAGCTGAACTTTAGAAACTTAATCTACATGCACGTGCGGACCCCAGTACCCAAAATGGGTGCCATTACTCGCGTGGTACCCGCGTACGAGCCCGCCAAAGTTTTTTTGGGTAAGTTCATAGCTTTTTTTGGGTAAGTTCATAGCCTGAGAAGCTAGAAAGTTGAAATCTTAAGAGGATGTTCCCTGTTCAGGTAGGTATTAATGAGCTCAAACCCAGCCCCCGGGTAAGCGTGGTACCCACGTACAGGTCCGTGAAAGTTTTTTCCGGGCAAGTTGGTAACTCGAAAATTTGAAAAACTGGAGGACTGTAATTTTAAGAGGATATTCCCCGTTCACCTAAGTTTCATGGAGCTCAAACCCTGACTCCGAGTACGCGTGGTACCCACGCACGGGCTTACCAAAGTTCTTCTCTGATAAGTTGCTAACTCGAGAAACTGAAAAGCTAGAAAACTGTAGTTTTAAGAGAATGTTCCCCGTCCACGTAAGTCTCAACGAGCTCAAACCCAGGCATCGAGTGTGCGTGCTATCCACATACGAGCCCGTGAAAGGAGCCAGGATAGCTAGAAAGCTGAAATTTTAAGCGGGTGTTTCTTGACAGTTCTGGCGGCCAATCTTAATTTGTTTGGCTAGAAGCATTTGCCGAAAAAACTGGTGCCGGTAGCGACAAAACCTGCGGTGAACCATGCAAAAAGCGCGTCTTCGCACGGGCAGCCTGTGCGTTGGCCAATTATTATGCGTTT